GATACAGCAATCATACAGTCTGATTCACGGCGGTGGCACATGAGACGTTTCTGGTGAAAGAGACCCGGGATCACTTTGAAAATTCAATGGAGAGCTTATTAGGACATTCTCTATCCAAATGAAATATTTTCCACAATGCGGTGTTGCCACTTCCAATAGAAATTAATGATAATAAAAATAATAATTTATTTGCAGTTCCAAATTTTTCTCATACAAATAAAATGTCAAAAAATTTTTTCAAATTAACCCATTTACTAGATTTTTGTTCACTTATCTCCACTAAATATTTGTTGGACGTGGCAGATATTCAATGGAAAATCCAAATAAAACATTATTGTTAGATTTTCACTCTACAGTTTACAAAATCATAACATGTGTTTTATCATATTCAAACGTTTCTATAATGGTGTATGGAAGTGACAATTTCACGATAAGGTGTTACTTGGATCATTACCACCAGTGTTACTTAAACTATTTCTATAGTGTTACCTTACTCTGGTTGTGTTAGACTCCCTGTTGAATTTCAATTTCCATAGTACAAGATGATGACCAATCATGGTTTGAAAATTCAAATGTTTTAAATTTTGTGTATTCATTTAGGTTATGAATCTACATATCAGCTATATCTTCAACAACTCCAAGCAGTAGGAATATTTTTATCTTCTTTTACATATGCTGTTTACCAAATATCATTTTGAACAAGACTAGTCTTCGAGTTATAACATTGTTAGTACATATATAATGATTTTTGCTTTTTTCTGTCGATGAAAGTTATTCCCAAATAACTTAACAGAGTGGCCTCAGATTGATATTTACCCTAATGACATTTGTTATTACCTTCGCATAGAATAAAACCCGTGCATATTTCAGTAATTGACATACCACAAACAATATTCTGTGTAGCATATAATTGAATGCTGATGCAAGCTGCATCATTTCCGTTTTCCACTAGTGCTTTTAGAATTCCAGAAAGTTATTTCGTAGGCTCCATATTGATCTCTTCTTGGAGCTCACAATTCAAATTTGCATAAGTGACATCTACCTGATGAATATGAATTCCGTAGCGAGCTGCTTAAGCTGTAGCTGATCTTATTGAACTCAAACGAGCAACGTGAGCAATCTTCTGATTAAAATGTATATGCTACTAATCGGACTTCTTTTGGATCGAGGGTGTCATGTGCTTTATATTTGTTCCTCAAGCCGATTCTATAACGATCTACAGGTCTCCATGTACCATCTTTTATTTTTGACTTGATTTCTTCTCCCATCGAACTGTACCATTGATCAGTCTCGGTTCCAGTTAAAGCTTATTTCATAGTTTCTTCAGCGACAAAAGTTTGTTCTTTTTCGTCAGTATTCATGGTAATTGGTGGTAACTGCTGACATTCTTCTCGAAGTCTACCTCTAGATCCAGTCCTGATTATTTTCGGTCTATCAGGACCTCGTCTAGATTGTGATGACTCCGTAATTGAATCTTCATTGAAATCTGGCAAGTTTTCAATTTCAGGTGCATTTTTCTCAACTTCTCCTTCTCTCTCCTCTGATTTGACATTGGTTATATTTTCTAGAATTTTCATCTCAATGTTCAAAGTGAGATTTTCCGAGCAAATTTTTATTTCTTAGAATACGATATATCATCTGGAAAGAAATCGGAGAATTCATCGTTAGAGGTCTCCGATTTCTCCAACAATTTCATATTTCGAATAATTTCAAATTTCTCTTCAGATGATATACAAAATCGATAACCTTTCGGTTGTTCCGTTGTGCCTTCTTTACATTTTGATTTATCATCACCAGGTCTATTCAAGGTATATACTGAACAATCAAATTCCTTCAAGTAGCTGATATCAGGCTGTTGTCCTGTCCATTCTTCATATGGCGTTTTTCCTTCAAGGCTTGTTGTTGGACAAAAATTCCATATATAATTTGCCGTATTCACTGCTTCAGCCCAGAATAATGATGGTAGATCAGTCTCCATAAAAAGACAATGTGCAGTTTTGATGAGAGGTATGTTTTTTTTCTCGGCTGCACCATTCTGTTTTGGGCTGTGCGATACTGTTTAACGTCGCACTTATATGAGCATTTCTTGTGGCTCTCAGAAGGTCCGTAATACTCAAAAGTCCGAGTTGACGATGCCATTTCGCAAAAGTTTCTGAAGGCGTACGCGAAATTCTTGCAGAATTAGATAAAATTTCACTTGAAGTCGTCTCTTGCTCACAAACGCATCACAAATTAACAACACAATTCTTGTCAAAAAACCAACGCATTGTTTTTTTAAAAGACAATTTCAAAACCATTGTTGGTAATTTTCTCAACTGACAAAAAATCAGTTCGCAGTTGGAGAATGTGAGCTGTGAGCGGAACTGTTTCTTTCGCGATCATTTCTGAGGATACATTTGTAGCAAGATTCAATTTTCCATGATGAGAATCAGTGTACTCAAAAATATTTTGCAACTCATTGCAAAAATGCGGAATAGCGCCACTGTGTAGGCATCTTTTCTGTCTATATTCGGGTAAACTAACTTGAAATGTATCTGAAGTATATAAAGTAACATCTTCAGCACTTTCAACAAAAGGTCTTCCATATTTTTATCTCGTTTACATTCCGAATATCCATTTCCTACTCTTTCGCACCTGTGGCATCGATAATTAAATGTACTGCTATCATCCACAGTAACTTGTTCTGATGTCTCCATTTGGTATACTTTTTGTAAGCGAACATAGCATTTTTCATTTCAGTTGTAGTGTCATTTTTTCGACTACCAATTTTCTAGATAATTCTGATGCGTAAGAATTCTGAAGTGGGCATTTCATCTCTTGACTCTATTGCTAATAGATCTGAGTTTATTTCCACCTCCATTCCATTCAACTCGTTCAATGCTTCAAAAAATTAAAAAATGTGTTCTCGAACATCATTGCAATGCCTTCCAACATTCGTTGCAATGTGAGTTGTTTCAAAAGTGTTGCCTCTCTAGCAGGTCCTTTGGATTGATAAATATTCTTCAGTTTCTGCCAGACATCGTGTGAAGAAGCTCTTGATTTGTTCTCTAGTTCCTTGGCACTAATCGATAGTATTGTATATGATTTTGCTTTGGCATCATTTCTCAACCATGATTTCAACTCATCTTTGGATTTTTCATCATTGATAAAATCAACATCGGTTTAGGAAGATCGCCGCTAACATAAGCCCAAGCGTCGTTTCCAATCAGCAAAGCCTCCATCTGCGTCTTCCATGTGTCATAATTTTTCTTATCGAGAGATCAGATCCCGCATCTATTCGGAATACTCATAATGAACGAAAAATAGCACACAAGCAATGAAAATAATTATTGTTTTCAAATTTTCACTAACACTGACATTTCCTCTATTCGTGAGCCCGTAACCTGTTGACCAGAGAGTTTGGGTAGTAAAACTATCAGTAAACGACTTGAAGAAGGAACTTCAATAAACGTGATTACTTTACAAAAGACAACTATTTTTGACTATCTACGTCAAACTTGACAGCTCAGTCATATCCGCAATACTCTGATATAAATACAAAAAGTTCGCCCGTACACGAGCCACATTTTGCGGTCGGATCGACCACACAGTTGCCGTCGCGTTCCAATGAACTCAAGCCGCTCATAAGAAATACTGTACTACACGTACACTGGCGTTTACAAAAGTCAAAATGGGCGTCTGCAGTCAACTTGCTGCTGATCTCCGCCGAGATATCATCGCGGCATCTGCCGTACACTAACCACAAACTTGCAGTCGTACCCAACCGCGTACACCGTCGTGTACTTTTTCTCATATTGGTCTCACAGCATTCAATTTTTGATGTCAGTTGCCTCAACTACAAGTTTGGTTTATATGACCGCAAGTCGACCATAAAAATGTGGTTGGGTCAACCGCGAAATGCAGTCAACGTGGCCACAATGTTGTGATTGCCTCAACTGCAAATATGTGGTCCGTGTACGGCCGGACAAACAGTGGCACCTACGGCCTGATGATTTCGACAATTGCGGAACTAGTCAAATATTTCACCCATGCTCAATCACTAAAGAGATGGGATGGAATCAATGGATGCAATCTTACCAGGATCACCTTGGGCGACCCTGGGAAGCTGGCGCCGAAGAAAT